AAAGACAGTTTTAAGCTAACGCTTTGCTGAAAGCACAAAGCTGTGCACGACAATCAATCATGGTGGAAGAAACCGTCCAGACATCGTCGCATGGGCTCATTTAAACCCGTTCTGGTCCCGAGTCCACAACCTGGGTCTGGTGAAGGATGACTGGCAGTTCAAGTCAGTCTGTGGCAGGAGCTAGCTGTGTTAGCGTTAGCTGAGGGACAATGTGCGGAGGTTTTTCTTGTTTTATGCTTTAAAGTGCCAACAGTTGGGCAGACAATACAGTAGTCCCTCAGTTATTGTGGGGATCAGTTCCAAACCCGCCCGCTTTAAGTGAAATTCCACGAAGTAGCGACGTTATATTTATTTTAGTATTTCTATTTTGAGGCTTTATAAACCCTTCCCACACTCTTGCAATGTTCTAAACTCTTAAACCGACATCATTTTAACAACATACATACAGAACTGTATATGTAGCTACTAAATTTTACTGACCAGTCGCTGCAGAACAGGAGCGGATCTCCGCTCCGGTCCGACTCGGTTCCGTTTCTGCAGCGACAAAGCCCACAATCGACCTTCTAAACTCTTAAACCTACTAATTTTAACAACATACTTATATGTAGCTAATAAATTTTACTTACATGGGCGTCCCCGCGTAGAGGTCCTCGTTAGCCAGCTAGGAGCTCTCGGGCTCACTGCTGAGTGTGGAGGTCCGGTTCTGGTCCGGTTCTTTGCAGCTCTTGGGCGTGTGGGGGTGGGGGGACCTTGTGTTGGCTGGCGCAGGACCGTAGGTGGTCGAATTGAGTTCAAGTCTGGATGAAAAAAGTCCCGATGGGCTACGGAAATAGCTCTGGACTTTTCAGCGTGCGTCCGCACTTAGAAGTCCACGTGGGCCGGGTACCAGCTCTCAAGATTCACCAATGGGTCTGGAGGTCTGGTTCTGGTCCAGTTTGGTGGATACAGTGCGGCTTCTCTGCATCTGCTGGACGGCGATCAGATCAAAACTTTACCTCTGGTTTTTCAGAAGGAAAACGAGGCTTCTGGGCGTGGCCCTGTTGCCTTCTGGGAAATGTGGTCGTTATGAGCGTGAATACAGTGGAGGCTCACTGAGAGAAAACTACAAAATGGCAGCGTCTGTCTGAAGTATTTTATTTTTCGTTAATTTTTTACTGTAGAGTATACGGTACTGTCCTGATCATGTGAGTAATATTAAAGTTGACAGTCGTGCCCTGTACAATTAAAAAAACTTGTACAATATTATGGTCTGTACATCCATAAACTGCGATAGAGCGAGTTTGCGAAAGTTGAACCGTGAAGTAGCGAGGGACTTCTGTATGTCCACATCTGGAGTCTAGGAGTTACAAAAAAAAGACGAATGTTTGCAATAAAAGTGACGGAAGGCACCCGCCACGCACCCGCTCCATCCTCGGTCACCGCCCTCTCTGTGTGACATCATCACCACGAGCCCTAGAGTCAAAACATCAAAGGATCCTCTCTGAAACGGATTTATCTGCAGCTGTTGGGATTTAAGTTGTGCACGTGAACGTCTTGCAAAGGTGACGAACAGGTGCTTCTTCTTACTTTACCTGCAAACCTGGTGTTTTACTTGTATTCAGTGTTTTGGATCCAGTATCGTGTGAATGTGTGGTGTTGTGCATGGAAGGCTTCACCTGAGGTAAATCTGTTCCTACAGGTTTCCACTGGTCCAGACACAGTTTCTGGTTTTGATAACGGACTGAAGCGGCTCGCCGCGATAAGCTGCTTAGGTCAGAAAAATGTAAACATGAGACTTTTATGTGATTTATTGGGTTCAGGTGGAGTTCACTTCTTATCGGCTCTGAGGGGAACCTGCATCAACTGCAAGACTCTGAAGCTGTGAAAATATTTGAAGACCTTCAAGATTAATGTTTTTAACTCTGTTTTTAAATTATTATATTTGAGTTGATTGGTTCTCATAGCCGGCAGCAAGTCGGACCCTTCAGGGTGGGGGTTGGACTCCACCAGGGCTGATCATTGTCTCCGATTCTCTTCAGAACTTTCATGGACAGAACTTCTCGGTGCAGCCGGGGGGTGGAGGGAGTCCAGTTCGGTGGTCTCAGGATCCATCTCTGCTCTTTGCAGATGATGTGGTCCTGTTGGCGTCATCGTGATCTTCAGCTCTCACTGGAGCGGATCACAGCTGAGTTTGAAGCGGATGAGATGAGAACCAGCACCTCCAGATCTGAGTCCGTGGTCCTCAGTTGGAAAATGGTGGATTGTTCTCTTCAGGTTGAGGGTGAGGTTCTGCCTCAAGTTGAGGAGTTCAAGTATCTCTGGGGTTTGTTCACGAGTGAGGGAAGAATGGAGCGTGAGATTGACAGATGGATTGGTGCAGCATCTGCAGTATTGTGGACTCTGTGCCGGTCCAGTGTGGTGAAGAGGAAGTTGTAAGACAAAGTTCTCGGTTTACCGGTCGGTCTACGTTCCTCCCTTCACCTCTGGTCATGAACTCTGGTAAGGATGGACCCTGGGCGCCTCCCTAGGGAGGTGCTTCAAGCATATCCAACTGGGAGGAGACCCCGGGGAAGGCCCAGCACTCGCTGGAGAGACTATGTCTCTCAGCTGAACTGGGAACACCTTGGAGTCCTCCCAGAGGAGGGGGCTGTGGAGAGAGATGTCTGGACCTGCTGAAGATGCTGCCCCCGAGACCTGAGTCCAGAACAAGAGGAACATGATGGATGTTTGAGTTGGGTGTGATGCGGTGGATCAATAACTGCTCAGCTGACAGTCATGTAAACTCTAAATAAGATCTTTTTTTTTTTTTGGGGGGGGGGGGGGGGGTGTCAGACCACAGGACTGAACCTCTGGAGTTTGTAGAACGGGAGATTTTCCTGTGCGGCAGAAAGTTCTTGTTGCTGAACAGAAACCACAAACTCCGTGAGGAGGAGCGGACGTTCTTCACGAGCAGAAAACTGGACTTCCTGCGTAAACGAGCGGCGTCAGGACGTTTCTGCTGAAAGCCCAACGATGGGAGGAAAACGACTTGATCCTCACGACGCTCCTGTTTTTAGTTTGTCCCGACTCGGCAGCTGCAAACTGGTTCAGGCTGGACCTGGACGTTCTGAAGGCCTCCTTTGGTGGAACAGCTGGATCCAGAACTCGCAAACTAAATGTCTTCAAACGTCTGGCGGCCCCAGCAAGTTCAAGCTTGTTGTCGTGCTTACAAAGAGTTTGTCTCACGGTGCAATGAAACTATTCTGTGGCTCTTCCACAACGTAAATACAACTGAATAAAACTATACAAACTAGTAAAAACTACAAAATGATTCCAGACTGCTGGTGTTCAGCAGCAAGTACAAAACACAAATGTAACAACACCTGCAGACAGTAAAGGTAATCAAAGGTGCTAAAATGCAAACGACAAAGTAAAAACCTAAATAATGAAACATTTAGTTTATTAAGCAGCGTGCGCTCCGTGGTCTGTGTGAGATGGTATCGCATCATTTAGCTGTAGGATTTTAACTGTTCTGCATTTGTCTGAGGATTCAAGGAAAACTAAAAAAGACACAAACATGACACTTGTGTCAGTTTGTGTTTAAAAAATGTACAAACTTATAATTAACAATCACACGTGGAGATAAAGTCGGAAAAGGATTCAGCTCATTTAAATGTTTTACACGAGCGCCCCCTGCTGGACAGAGCGAGCAGCGCAGCAACCTGTCATTAAAAAACAAAACGTTCGTGCGTGTGCGTGTGCGTGCAGCTGGAGGATGTTTTCATGTTTGTGTAAACAGCAGTGGGACGAAGAATCATCCATCCATCCATCCATCCATCCATCCGTTATCTTTACCCGCTTCTTCCTTTTTGGAGCGCAGGGGTCGCCGGCACCCATGTCCAGCTGTCAGTGTGTGAGAGGTGGGACACCCTGGACAGGTCTCCATCACAGAGACACCTGGACAGGTCTCCAGTCCATCACAGAGACA